GGGTATTAACAAAGTTGCAAGTTCAACAATGTTGCAAATCGTTCCCCCGCAGAATTCGACAATGTTGCAAGATCAACAATGTTGCAAATCGCTTCCCGCAGAATTTAACAAAGTTGCAAGTTCAACAATGTTGCAAATTGCTCCTCTCAGAACTTCAACAATGTTGCAAGATTGAGTCTATTTTTCGGATTTTTTCACATCTTGCCGAACTTCTGAGTTGCAACTTTGTTGAATTTTGAGCAGCGTTAAGTTCAACAATGTTGCAAATCGCCTCGCTCAAAATTGTGATGGGAATTGTCGGATTTTTACTCCTGGCAACAGGAGAACATAATATGCGAAGAGGTGGCACGTTGACGCCTACGTGCAGGCGACTAGCCCGACTTACCTGTTAGTATAGGTCGCCTAATTCAAGGGGCACATGATATGCGAATAGGTGGCACGTTTGCCCCTACGTGCAGGCAACCAGCCCGACTTACCAGTTGGTATAAGTTGCCTAATTCAAGGAGCACATGTTATGTGTTCGGAGGTGTTAGATGGTATTAGTAGGTGTTAGAAGGCATTAGGAAGTACTGGGTGTTGTTAGTGGGTGTTAGGAGGTAGTAGGTGATGTCAGAAAATATCGGGAAATGTCAAGAGATGTTCGAGGTTGTTAGGGGAAGTCAGGAGTTGTTAAGATATTGTAGAATGTGTTTGAATGTGACGGAAGTTGGTAGGAATTGTTAGAATGTTTTCGCTGTGTGGCGGGGAAAAGAATAGGCACTCAGTAGTCCTTGTTTGTCGTAAGAGGCGACTAAAAGGGACTGGAGGGACCGTGGGTTAAATCATTAGCCAATGTTTTTTATTTTATTAAGCTTCGGACCAGTATTGATCCATAAGCTATTACAATTACAGTTACGATTATGATTACGTTGGATATTGTAGAACTATAGGTGTGTAGATAATAGTGCGTCCAAGTTTGTATTGAAAATAGTTCCCACTTTTACTGTAAGTTGGCGCCATCATTGCACTTATGTCGCAATCTAATGGTGATAATAGGAACTATGTTACTTGAATCTTGGTCATTTTGTGAACGGTGTATAAATATTATTGTTAATAATATAAGATACAATATGTAACATACATATGACATTCTTAAATTCTATTAATTTCGTTAAATGAATTGCTACTATCTTCTAAAAATCGACTTCATACAAAATTAAATAAATGTAATAATATAGAAAATATTTGTAATTATAATAAATAATATTCTCAGTTACAATACTTACATTGTAAATCAAGAAAATGTATGTATTTATTTGAAATATATGATAAAAATTGTTAACCAATGAAATCGTCGTATGCTTTAACCTTTTATACAACATATACCTATCATCTGTGTGCAGTAGTATGTTAGTATATGACTGAAACCGTGAGGAATAAAATTTATTGTGGAAACCGTCATATCATGACTAATCTTAAATAGCACTGAATTTTACAATGCTAATAGCAGTTACAATGTTCACTTAATTATTAATACCAGTACCAATACACAACTAGACATTAAAAGATGTTTTTAGTGGGTTTAACAGGTGGAATAGCTACTGGAAAAAGTAGTGTTGCTGCTGTTTTTCGTGAACACGGTATACCTGTCATCGATGCCGATCAAATAGCACGGAAAGGTTAGGAATTAAATTAAATTATAATTATTACTAAAAACTACAATGTAACTTTTTTGTATCTGATAATATAGTTTTACTATACGATGATCTCAGTATTTTTACTATAAAATTTTCTTATTTAGACTGAGAATGTTTAACCCTTTGCACTCGGATGTGTCCTCTGAAGGGACATAAGTCTAGCAAACTTTATTACTGATTATACATATCAAATTTTTCAAGAATGCATGTTTCCTTGAAGTTTCTCATGCAAATGGCCCGAAAAAGCAAATCAAAATACGGTATATGTATATACTGAGGTATATACAAAAACATGTGAGTTAGTATTACATAGCAAAAAAAATGTTTGCAGAGTCAACACTTAAAAACTTGAAAGGAGCACTTATGTAAGAAAGGTAGGTGCATAAACATACTTTGTATGATATGGTGGATTTTGAAAAAATAAACAAGAAAGCCTATTATAGTCATAAAGAAAGAAACATCTGTGTCCCCTAATGTCTAAAGATTAATATAAACTGAATATCATTAAGATAAATTACATAATTTCTAAATTATCTTACTTAGTATGACATAACTCCTATTTACACATTTTACAATGAGATGGCTCCAAGTGCAAAGGGTTATTTTGCTTTCATAGTATATCAATAAATATATATATAATAATATCAATTATTGTGAAAACATGGATTATATTTTGCAGTTGTAGAACCTGGAAAACCAGCATGGCACAAAATACAAAAAGAGTTTGGTCCAGATGTATTCTTAGATACAAAGGAACTAGATAGAATTAAACTTGGTGATTTAATATTTAATGATATAGAAAAAAGAAAAAAGTTGAACGCTATAACACATCCACATATATATAAAGAAATATACTGGCAAACATTCAAATATTTTCTACAAGGTCATCAATTTATAGTCATGGATTTGCCACTACTTTTTGAAACAGGGCACATGTTAAATTACTTGCATAAAATAATTGTTGTGACTTGGTATGATTATTTTTGTTTAGACAAAAGTATAAAAATTATACAGGATGTTGTATGAAGTATACAAAAAGTATATGTTATTTCATTTTAGCGAAGAGGATTTGCAATTACAACGACTCATCGAAAGGACAGGTATCACAGAAGCTAAAGCAAAACTAAGAATTGCTGCACAAATGCCCTTGGAGAAAAAAGCGGAAATGGCAAATTTTGTCATTGAAAATTCTAGTAGTGAACGTGATACTAGAGAACAAACTATTAAAGTCATTAATGTCTTAAAGTCTTCCAAATACCACTGGAAATTACGACTTTTAGTTGGACTTTGTTGTACCGTCTTATTAGCGGGTGTATACTGGCTGAAAAATAAAACTGTTCGTTCTTTACCGAGTACAGCATAAAACGAACTATTTACGGAATTTTATCAATTCACTTTGGGATCCAGTGTATAGCGCTTTATCGAATTTATGAATTTACCCATTTACGTACAGGAATAAATTACTTTAACATAATATATAATTACAATTAATAGTATTATTTTTTTAAATTTTCTTATATATATACTTTTTTTTTAAATAACCAATGAATTTTCTGTGATATAATACAGATACAAAACTTTATGTTTCAATGTTTTTATAAAATGCGTAACAGTTACATAAATATATAATACAAAGATTGTAATTAGCTTCTGGTTTATGTATTTCAATGAATAGAATGTCATTAATTGATCAATTTAAATGTGTCATACAAAACTTGTACAGAAACAGATTTTTATTATCCTAATGTACGAATATGGAGACCATTAAAGTAATATAATGGAAGGTGGCAGAGCACTAGTCTTGTAAACCAGGGGTCGTTTTTCACAGGAGGCATCAATGTATTCATAAATAATATACTTAAGAATGGTGTGCTTTAGAACATGTCACATATAATGAAACCGATTGAAATCATTTAAATGATTAATGCATTTATAGTACAGTAAATGACAAAAATAGTTTTTATACATATGAAATATTAACATGTAAGGATTGAAAGCAATGGGACATTTGAAGATTGTATATTAGACGTACTGTTTGTTAATTATCGAAATGAAATGTATTATTAAAAAAACGAATAGAACTTTATTACACTAAATACCTAATCAATTCAATATTAAGATATAGCTACTGGTCGTGAAGAATTTAAGGTAATAAGGGCGGCATTTATCACTTTAATAAAGTGCTTATTAACATAAAGTTATGCATAAAAGATTATACATTTTATACGCATATATAAAATACATGGTACTTATTGCTCAATTTCTTATACTAATTACGCAAAGTATATACATATGTATGAAAAGGGCATCAAATACCGTTGGAGACACTTCGTCAGACGCCTCACAGTAATGTTAATGTGGTGCTGGCTACAAACACTGAGCATGAAGATCGAGAGAACATTAAAGATACTAAGTGTTCAGCTAGGCTCAAGAATTTAGGCTTCAAATTGGGTGGAGCAGATTTGTTAATCGTGAATTCAGGTGAGTATTCTGTTGATGAAATCAAGAACTATAATTTCTGGTACAAGAAAGACCGAAAGGGGGTAGACTTTTTGGCAGCTGTGCGGAACCTGTGGAATTTATTAATATCGAGGGCAAATTGTGTATTAAAATTAATGGTTTATGGCATGTTGTTGAATAATTAGTCATCTCTTAACAAAAAACTTTTCGAAAATTAAGGCCATTAAATTAGGCACAACCGGACTTAGCAGCTCTGAATGATTTCTCAATCAAGGAAGAAAGTTTGACAAAAACAATACTGCTGGAGTGGTTAGTGCCATAGAGACAGAGAAAGAGAGAAGTTAGATATACTTGTTGCTGACACAACAGTCACTGTGCAAGACTCTGAACAAGATGTCGGACGTAGTGTCGGGCTGTACAAACATATATTGGGATACAGCAAACCGAATATTTTAATAGCTTCCACGTGGGACTGGTTGGGATTTGAAAACACCTAGATAATATTTTCAAATTAGCGACGTGCTTGGAGCTGGACGAGCAACAGATAGATTAGCAAATTGTCTATCGAGAAGAACTTGGGACAGCTGTGAGAGATTGAGCCGCATCGCATTACTCAAGCGTACTATAGAAGATGCATCCTAGAAGCATACCCCCAATTTTTTGAAGAGGTCAAGGTGGTACTAGACCCTTGTGGTGGTTATGGTGGTTTTGCGGAGTCTTATTCCACTGCATTGTCTCAGAAATCAGCGAAAACATATGCATATGTGTCAACCTGTGACAAATAACATGACTTGAACAAATAGCTATACGTTTATTTGGTTTACAGGATGCACCTTACAAGTCTTTATTGTACCTGCTTCTTATATTTATTGATCAGTTTGAATTCGTAGTCATACGATTTGAAGTCATCACGCGAACTCAAAACTTTTTACTTAAGTAAATTGTAAAAACACAAAAAACCGTAACAAGTACTTAATATGTTAAAATATCACTATTTTATAAAGATAATTAAATTATTTCTTAAAAATGGAAGTATAAAAATTTTGGTGACAAAACCAGGTAGCAGCGGTACTATTTACAAAACTGCGTACAGAACAGTCGCAAAGTTCACCACCATTTTCAAAGCAGCGGTAAACCTTAACTTTAAACTTTTAAGATATTTAATTTACATACTCCATCCTAATTTGTACTTATCTTAACATATTAGCCTAAACGAGTCATCACTTACCTATGTTTTTTTTAATTTACAGTTTTTTTTTGCATCCGATTATTATTTTAATGACACAAAAAATTATCTACAAAATTATTTGTATTTTCACGATACTAAGGTATCAAAAAAAATAGGAGAATATTATCAACCATTAACATGGTTTTAGATCAGTATTCTTATTAGTCTAAATCTATACACACTTTGGATATTTATTTTGTTGCATATATTAATATCGAAAAAATAATTACCCTTTCCAGGGTATATCACTAAAAGAAACGAAATTACTAGATTTAAAGGACTTCAATAAAGGCATTCCACTTAAACCATACTGCTGAAAAAACAGTTATGATCGTTACGTTTGTCCTGTACGATAATTTTTACGATTTCCTACATAAATATCTAGGATGTTGTGTTCGTTAATTAGTGTGATATTTTCAACGTTGTATTTCTCTAAAGAATATATTTTTGATCGACTCTAAATATATCTATTCTATGCGTTCACCACATATGCTTAAAGAATTAATAGAAATACGTTATTATCTTGAAAGACTGAATGCAGAAAACATTCGTTTGAATGTTTCAACGTTGCAGAAAACAAACGTTGACTTGTCTGTGAGATTAAGGTATCGTTTGACGTTCCCTTTCTCATATGTGACTTACTGCAACACGGGCCTAAGTTCTTGAGTCATAATAGGATAAGAAACCATTGGTGCAGTTGCACCAGATATCGAAAGAGGTAAACTGGCAGGTTGTTGTGTATTAGGTGGTTGTTGATTAGTCGCTTGCGGACCTGAACCGCTCATCGTAATCGTTTGTTGGGCCATTGTAACGATGGGTGGTGGTATAGATACTGGTGCCATCGAAACCGCTGCTATAGACACAGGTGCAACTGTGGCTATACTTACAGGGACAGTTGCAACACTTGCAGTTACCGTACGCAACGTTCCAGCAGCTACTGCTGCGTTGACCATTTGTTGAGGCGTTGGAGCTTGCGATGGTGGAACAGTATTGGTAATGGTAACTGCTGGAACTGTAACTGCTGTTACATTAGCAGTTCGTTTCCCTGACATTCTTAGCTGGGCATTTTGATCCAGAAGAAACTCGTTAGTTGCTGTTAAATCACTTACCTAAACGAGAATTTGAATGAGAATACAAACGTGTAAGTCATATGTTTGGAATAAATCAAAATGAAATCATAAAGGTAAACAAACTTGTTTCTTTAAGTCTTCTATCTTTTTCCTTAATAATGCGTTCTCATCCTCTAATACAATTGCTCTGGCTTCGTTCCGCGGTATCACTGGATAATAATACCCTGAAGTGACCGGCTGTGCGGTATGTTGGCCGACGAGTGGCGAAGCTTCAAAATGAACAACAGTTTCACCAGAAACTATTCGTCTCTTTGGTTCGGGTGGACCTATGTAATCAGGAGGATGTGACGATGTGTTGAAGCTATTGTTTGGAACTAAGTTATGCTGATCTTCCATTTGCCAATGAAAGCTATAAACACACAAGACAATATTCACATTATACAGAGTGTTTCTTAATATGCATGCGCTTTTTGGAAAGTAAGATCTTAACACCAGTACGAATCGAAAAGTTCTTTACCAATTTACGAACTGCGGCTTCGTTATCGAGATATAAACAATTGAAATTTGCTGGTTGATTTCCAGCGCGGGCAATTTCCAATCCCTATTAGCTGTTCGCGTAATCGCAACATGTACAGACCTACATAGGAGAAACATTCACCGAAACACACTCTCTGTTAGAAAATGACCTAAGAGCCGGCAGTGTCCACGTACTACCTGGCCTAGAGACTCCCAGGTCATTTTCAAGCAGTGAGTGTACATCGATGTGTATTTTTCCTGTGTGAGTACATACAGTGACGAGCATATAAATAGGGAAAATGTTTTGTTAACATATAAGACGTTGTTCTGCAATCCCGATTTGTATTTCTCCTTTAGTCTTTCAGAAGTACATTTCCTAAGCTTTAAAATGCTGTATAGTTTTAATTATTAACGCCATTTAATTAATAATAATAATAATAATAATAATAAAAAAGTAGACTTGAAATAAGAACATTTTTGGAGAGCATCTAAATAGGGAAAACTGAGTTTCTTATTTTCAACGCATATTTTGTTAAGTTCATGTAATTATAAAGTACAAGTAGTAATACCATATGTAAAGTGCAGTTAGGTATATCAATTTTTGTACATAGAAATGGGTCGTGGCAAACATATTACAACTGTGCAACATCTAGAAATTCTCCGACTTCGGAATGAAAAATTAACGCTTCGTAAAATTTCTGAGCGTCTTAAAATCTCAATTAACGCTGTCCATCAAGCACTTAAACATATTAAAATAAATGGAACTGTTGATAATAAAATACGCAACGAAATACCACGAAAAACAAACACCACGATTGGATCGAACGATACACCGTCTTTCAGAAGCGGACCGATTTAAGACTACGGTTGATACTCATCGTGAAATTTCCACACAAATGGACACAAAAATTAGTGTTCACGCCATTCGGCACCGTCTGAATGAATTTGGACTAAGAGGACGCATCGCCCGTAAAAAACCATTTATTAGTCAAAAGAACCGTAAGGCAAGACTAGCTTTTGCTAAAGAGCATCTTCTCTGGACAAGAGAGAAATGGGCGAAAGTTATTTTTACTGACGAGTCTAAGTTGAATCACTTCGGATCGGATGGAAGAACTTATGTACGACGTCGAATAGGTGAAGAATTTAATCCGAAGTGTTTAAAATAAACCGTTAAAAGAAGAGGTGGCTCTGTGATGGTCTGGGGTGGCATGACCAGAAACGATCCTGGTCCAATTTGCCGTATTAATGACATCATGGACCAGCATCTTTATGTCGACATTTTAAACGAACATTTAATGCCATTTAGTCGAGAAAATTTGCCAGACGACTGGATATTTCAGGCTGATAACGATGCATTTCACACGTCACGAAGGGCAAACGGTTCTTGAAGGAACATAAAGTTAGAGTCAAGGGTAGCCTGCTCAGTCGCCGGATTAAAATCCAATAGAGCACCTTTCGAACGAGGTGGATAAAGAAATTAAAACTAAAAAGCTTTCACATTTAAATGATTTATACGATGTGATAGAAGAAACTTGGAAAAGTATTTCAATCGATCGCTGTATTCGCCTTATTGACTCTATGCCACGTCGCTATGCCGAGGTAATAAGAAAAAAGGAAGGCCCAACGAAATATTAATTTGTTATTGTGAATATGTTGTTTATATTGGGCTGTCTGGAAAGTCCATGCCGATTTTTAGTAGGCGGTACAGGTCTGTATATATCAGAATGGATGAAAACAAATAAAATGTGTACATTCCTCAACAGGTGGAAAGGTTGGGGAACAAAATGGTACACATATAATTCAATAAATATACATCAAAATTCAAATATGCCTTTGAATTTTTCTTGAAAATAGGCATGAACTTTCCGGACAACCCAATATTATAAAATAAAATACTTTTGATAAATAATTCTGTAGTTCCCTATTTAGATGCTCTCCAAAAATGTCCTTATTTCAAGTCTACTATCTTTTTTTTTTATAAATTAAACGGCGTTAGTAATTAAAACATATATACAGCATTGTAAAGCTTAAGAAATGTGCTTCTGAAGTATGGAAAGACTAACGGAGAAATACCAATCGGGACTGCAGAACAACGTCTTATATGTTAACAAAATATTTTCCCTATTTATATGCTCGCTACTGTACTGAAAAAGAATACTACAGAAAGAAAGCCTCCTATCTTCTTACTTCCTATCTTCCTCGTATCTGCGATTTTCCCCATTACTAGGACCATTGAAATTGTGTTGTGGCCTGGACACGTTATGATGAGAAGCCACGATCAAGTTGTGTTGCGGTTCCTCGCCTTTCCAATGTCTAAATTTGCAATTCGTTCTTTGACAGCTACCCTTGATGAAGTCTTTGCACATAGGGTACTCTGATTTCTCATTGGTGCTTTTCAGCCTGGTTAGAATATGAGCAGGCAGTTCTCCCGTCGCCCTGAAACGTTTCTCCTCGCTTTCTGTACAGTGAAGGAATTTACATCCAGGCCAATTACACATTCCGTTCTGGAAGTCATGACAAAACGTATACTCCTCCACAGGGTCGTCCTCGGATCGCTCGTGCAGATATTTGCAACGTTTGCCCCTGTGACACACGTTCCGTAGGAAATCTCTGCAAACGCGAGTGGGTGATGCATCTCCGCTCGCATTCAGCGCACCTGCTGCTTGCCCGCCTCTCGCGCTATCCGATGTTTTTTTCAGCTTCTTCATCGATGATACATTGCGATCATACCTCGTAAGTAATTCGTAATCGATCGTTATTAATCACACGTTGCGCGTGTGTGCTGCAAATATAAAAAAATGGTTAGTGGAGTATAAATACACATGAGAAAATCAAGGTATTTTACGTTACGTAAAGGAAAAAACGTATACAGAATGCAAAAAACAAATAACGATCATGATTTTCAGGGATGAATCTACGCGTCAATCTCTTTGTTTAATTAATTTGATTAATTCTTAGATTTTTGTTATTCTTAATGTTACTATATATCCCAATCTGTCTTCCGATAAATTCTTTTTTTAAATAATCGGTAGTTTTTTTTTTATGTTCTCCCTACGAAAAATGATTGGAAGTACAGAACGCAATAAATTTAATAGATTTAATGCACTTTTACTGACTAATGAAACATATTAGACGGAAAACTATAATTAAAGAAACTGATAAATTTAGACCATATACCATTACTTGGATAAGTTTCGTATTCATACTTTGTACTTATTCTTTTATTTTGTAAAAATATTGAAATACTGATTTTATTTTCAGTTTCAATATAAAGGAATCCATTAAAGCGTTTAATTACCAAGTGATAATATTTTCAATCAATTAAAATATATAAATTTACATTTGAAGTAAAAAGATCATCTTTTATTTTTTTTATTGCTACCCTGAATTTATCGTTAAGAAAAATTCAGAAAATAACAGAGATAAATATTATAAAAAGTAGTGTTACACATTCCATGTAGTCGCTCTTATGGTCTGTCATTTTTTATCTCGCACTTTCTCTTACTCCTTAGTATTCTAAAATACAATATATAAATGGGAAACTATTGCAAATGCCAAGAACAAATTTCACACTTAACTTTTTTTCACTGTATACCATCAACGAATAAGCAAATAATTCTGTCGTCACTTTTTCTATCATTATTTCGATATAAAGTAATTTATGTTAATGTAAAAGGTACAATAAAATACATTCAAACCTACAGGAGCATTTGCTTAAACGTTTAAAAATAATTCCATTGTCCAAAAACCGTCATCACAAACTCACGCATCAATTATAGTCGGATTAAAATTAATTGACGCGCTGAAGGCCTCTTATCCGATTGTGAATTATGTCAGAGAGAACTTGTACGCTTGGAACACAGAGAAAACGTGCTTTATGCGAAACGTTAGCCAGTTGATTTTAACCCGACCATATTTAAGCACAGGTTTTCAGAGAAACTATAATAAAGAATTTCAGTTAAGTTAATTTTTATTTTTTTTTATATAATGACTATTACATGAGTAGTAAGATTATACCAACAATAGTTATGTACAGTATTAAGTTATTTATATAAACCTTCACGATCTTAATATAATTTCAATCTACCAAGAAAGTAACATCCATAAGCGGCAGGCCAATGTTCTTTTTTGGAAAATTGAATATACTTTATCGGTTTCGCATGTGATCATATTTATTACATTGAACAGGGCAGAAATAGATCGGGCAATGGCACTGTAACTAAACTAGTCAGAATTAAGAAAATACGGATAATTTTAGTTACATTCGTATAAAAAGAATCAATAGAAAAGTATAACTAGAGTTCATTTTTCGAAACACACATATCTAGGCCATTTCTGCAGAATCGCTAATATGTATACCAATTTTTCAATGACAATTTTACTCGAAACTTTCGCATAGATGAATCGTTACTTTTCCTTAACGTTTATTAGGTCGCTTGAATGGATATGCTTCTATTATTATGCTACCATTAAAGAGAAGAAGCCACGTACATAACAAAACAGGATTTCGAGAAATCATTAATAAAGTGTATAGAATATCAAACGTTATATCAACAAATTATCTTTATATGTACAAATCGTTCAATCGTCAAGTATGTTCAAATCGATCGATACTAACATTAAATAAATCATTTTATTAAACCGATGTCAACGTTGAATCGCCAAAAACAAAAACATTAATCGGAGCACGGTAACCCGACTTCATTTTTAACCTCATCGTATTATTTATTTTGAAAACAATTGTTATTAAACAAACATTAAAGAAACCAAATTAATCGATTTATGTCGTCAAAATATAAGTGATCCCCAATCTACAAAATAAATATTGAGTATTTATAATCTTAAAACAAATTCAGGAAGATACTGGACACATCAAAGGGGCTTTTTATAAAAATTGATCTTTGCATACAAATGTTAGTTGTAATTTATATAATAATACATTCGAGTCGTTGGACGTGCAGTGTTGGAAATGATTGCAAAGAATAACGACGTAAAGTGTGCAATATCGTAAATATAGATTAATACCATACTTTAAGATATGATATTAAGATTGGCAGCATGTTGAACATTTTACGTGGTATTGTCTATACTTCCTCTAATACATTTTCCCTAGCCTAAAATTTTGTTCTATGTACATATGTATTGCTATAAATTTCTGCTGTAATTTGATTTTGGTTCCTTGTTTGAGATGGTAACATGGTGTATACCTCTGCTTTACCTTTGTGATTTGTTAGAGAAGATTTCTGTGATCGATGTTTCAACAACAGTATGGGAAAAATATATACAATTCTTAATATATTTTTTTCATATAAAAATGTTTGAATTTCTGTTGAAACTACACACCACCATCTTTTCTTTCGCTTACTCGATATCTTTTAATAAACTATGTTTTAGAACTTTGTATTTTTATCATATTGCTACCAATAAAAAACAAAAGTACAATATTAATTAATAATAAACGTTATATACAAAAATCAAAAAAGAAACATTAAAATATTTTTTCTAAGAGCATCCATACTAATATAATTGCAATGGGTGCAACATAATGAATTGGTACAGCATAGGTTGTATTTAACAGATCACCGCATTGTGCTTTAAGACTTGTATACTTTTTCGACAGTTCTGCCTTTTCTTCGACGAATACATTGTACTTTTCCTTTAAAATAACTAGCTCTTCGTGAAGCTCTTGAGTTCTTTGAGATTCATTCTTGGCACAATAATATAATTCTTTTAATTTTCCAATAACTTCTTCGTGAGGTTCACAAATTAACCAATCCTTGAGATTTTCTAACTCCTTTTTGACTGCTTGCTGCGATTCTAAGTTGTCTTCAACTTTTAAAGAATCCAAAGATCCTATTAAAGTTTGCAATACGTATTCCCTTGTATGTAGATTTTGCTGTGTATCATTTTTAGATAACGGTTTTAATGTTTTAACATAGTCTCCTTCTAAATGTTTCTCTTCGCATTCCTCGCCTAATTGATTGCTGTCCTTGGCTGTTTCATCCTTCTTCTCATGCTGTTGAACTTCTGTAGAATCAGGTTCGATCAAAGACTTAGCATTGTTCATACTGTCAACATTAATTTCTGTTTCTTCGCTATCTTTTGCCTTTTGAGTGATTTGAGGATGACGAGCGACTTGCAATTGTCCTTCGCGTGCAAATCGAACTTCTAGTTCGCGTAGAGCGCAAATTTGTTCAACTACATCGTATGCAGGTTCTTCTTTTTTAACTTCTATAACAGACTTCTCGCTTGTATCGTCGCTGGTAATACTACATGTATCATCTGTTGCTTCTGAATTAGTTTCAGATTCTGAATTAATATCCGAATTATCTATATTTACATTTCCATTAACCATAGTTTTTCGAGATGGCGGTGGTAAAATATATTCTGTTATATTATCATTATTGAACGAATCATCCAACTGTTCTTTGGAAAAGGGAATATCAGAATTTTTTAATTGATTTGAATCGATATCTTGCAAATTAATTTGATTATCCTGTTCGTCGTTCATATGACACCGAATAGACTCTGGATCAAGTATCATTTCATTTGCATACACAGAATGCATTGTATTAAGAATAGTATTAATAGCTTCGATGGGATTCCCTTCATATTTTGAGTCCATTATTTCGCTTGTTACCAACTTTGAATTCGTATCTTGCAAGATCTGCATTTTATTTTTCAAGGCAGTAACCAATTTATAGACATTAAGAGAATTTCGTTGGAAATTGCGTAATTTTACATGTAGATGGTTCTCAATTTTAAAACGATCTTCAAGTTTCTTCAAAAGTTCCTGTTTTTCTTGTTCTATGTGTTGTACCATATCTTTCATTTCTTCTTCGCTTTCTGTAAGTTTAGTAAATTTACTGCTCAATTCTTGAAGTTCTGTTTGAGTATACTTTGCTACATTGTGAAGACTTTGACATTCTTCTTCTGTTTCGCTCAACCGCCCTTCCAACTGAACTAACCTCTGAGATATTTCAAGTTTTTCCTGTAATACTTTTTGTAGTGCCTCCTTTGCTGCATTTTGGTATTCTGCCTTTTCTTCTTGAAGTTGTATTAATTCATTTCTGATTTTATCTTCTGTATAATTTTTGGAATAAACAGCCAATTGGCTTTCAATTGTTTCCACCCAAGATAGCAATTGATCCTCTGCTATTAATGCTTTCCATGATTCATTGGCAGCTTTGCGGGTATTTGATACAAGTTGTTGAAGATATCCTAACTTTGAGTAAAGTGCTTTCTCGCGCTTTGTAGCCTCTTGTATAACCTGATTCAACATATACAAATCCTCATAAGAAATATTCGACGATGCGACTGATGTACTAACACTAGCTTTAGCCTCCTTCCCATCTGGCAAATATAATTTTAATGTTGCGACTATACATCCGTGCGTAACTTTCTTTGTATTTTCTATCACGTCTACTCCAAATTGCACTATGTCACCCGAACATACCTCTTTAGGTGTTGATTCTACCCCAGCAGCACTGAGTCTCTGATTATTAACAAATGTTCCATTACTACTACGCGTGTCTTGCAAGTAAAACTTTCCTCCAGAATACCATAGCAACGCATGGTTCCTGGATAATACTTTGCAATCAAAGATTGCATTATTCTGAGCTGCTCTAGCCCTTGCCACCGAACGACCGATTTTAACAGATTGTTCTAATGTCAATGTACGATCTTGAAAAGGATGAGAATTGTCACGACATATTAAGACACCTTTGGCTGTCATTTTGTTGTTCTGCACAGTGTTTACATTCAGGTTGGAATTATTCTGACTGGCAGGAAAACTGGCATTTTGTACCCTCCCACTATTGGCTACAACCATAGCCGATGAAATATCCAAAAGGTTGCAGGTTTTTCGGCGGACAGTTTAGAACACGTACAGAAAAGAAATTAATTATTGACACACACGCGACAAAGGACCAATTCGAAAACTTTGGAAGGTCGCACTTTTAACTGTCATTGGACGAATTCGATGATCGTGTCGGTTTACGATCGAACAGCTATTATTCACGCCCGATCCTAGAATTTGGTCACGAGGACCGATTTAGATCGTTCAAGCGTGAGATTTATCGTAGAGAAACTTGATACGAGAATTCACATGTTTCCATGATAAAGAAAAAAAAAATTCCGTTGCTATTCCAACAGTCTTCTAATGTTCCCTTTCCTATTTGTCATAAAATTCTTCGTGGAAACAGAAGTTGCAGATACGTCGTGGTTGTCAATTAGTCAACTCCAGAACATTCCTTGGCTCTACGATCAGTTGATCCGAGTTTTCTTTAGAATGTAATTGGAGTGACTGGATTCTTCCGAACGCACTGGGAACAGCGAAAAGATATGTTTCTCTGCGCAAGTAGCGGTGAGTGTACGCTTTCACACTTTCGTCCTTCGCACCAGTTCGCTTGCACTTTGGAATCTTCGATGTTGCGTACAAGGAAGTTCATTAGAAACGGTGTTTAATATGCGGTACGTGATCGACGACACCCAAACGCGATAAATCAGCTACTGTTGTAATCGACTAGATAGATCAAGACCAAAAATATTCTTCTCGAACTACTGCATTACTGTACTGAGATACAAGTGGTCCACGTTCCTTTAACTCAATGCTTTCCAGTTCCGCGTTTCGCTGTTTATCGACCGGCGGCAGTATAGTCATCTATACGAATACAACGGTGTAGCAAATTTAAAGTAGGCATTTACTTGGGCGTGCTACATCGTGACAGATACTGATTTCGAGAAATCTATCAGATAAAGGACTTGATAGGGCAATTAAACTAGATCAAAATAAACGTAAAGTGACCCTTTGAAGACGGGCGTGGCAAATATGCTACAGTATACTTTGCTGTTTCGGCGTCAAAGGTAGTTCTATGTTACGTTTCAATAATAGAACCAGATCCGAATGTATTACTTGCTGATTAGAATTTAATTAAGGGGTTAGTCGCGGTCAGGAAAATGAAAACGGACACTTTCTTGCGTGGTTTTTTTTTTAAGGTTTCAAATAATAATTTTTATGAATGAAATGTAAATATATTACAAAGTACGTCTTAAAGAACTATAAAAGAATTTTTATTTTTTTTAAAAAAAAAAAGGTTAATTCATTTCGTCATAACAGGCGATGGCGTGGGTGGCTACTTGGTTTGTGGTGAGCAAGATTACATTAAACTGGTGCACCTGAAAACAAAACTAAAGGTAGATTTAGGAAATATATTAGACTAACGGGGTCCCTGATCGAAGGATTTTTTATTTTCTTATATACTTTTCTTTTTATTCTCTATTTAATCACTTAATTTTATAATGAAAATAGAACTTCAACTTTAAATGTACGTCACTTTGTTTTAAATTAATTTTTTCCAAAATCCTTCGATCAGGAACCCGTTAGTCTAATATATTCTTCAAATCTACCTTTATTTTTGTTTTCAGGTATACCAGTTTGAAGAAATCTTGCTCAACGCAAACAAAGTGGCCACCAACACCATCGCCTGTTACGATGAAATGAATTAACCTTTTTTTAAAACAAAAATTTGTTTATAGTTCTTTAATATATATGTAACTGTGAGGTTATTAAAATAATCGTGCGTGAGTCTAGTATTTTTATATATATTTTAATGATTATGTAAAATAAAACTGTTACAGTGTAAAGCGCGCGAAGAGTATTTTTTCGACTGCGGAATCCCGAAAGCAGCGAACAGGGCCGGCGTGATCTTTTGCGGGGCAGGGTTCAAAAATTTTGCGGGGCCTGAATTCACATTCAAATCCTACACTTAAATTTTACAACGCGGAATTATTTATTTACAAATGCTGTTACACATTATATATTGTTTATAAGATGAATATTAAATAATATTACTTCGATGATTTTTGTCACTCCTTTAAACTGAATCATCGCCAATAAAAAAATGTCTTACATCTGTTAATGGTATCATCATTCCGTAAAAAGTTAATCAAAATTTTCGTAGACCGCGAGGCCCCTCAAAACGCGGGGCCGGGTTCCGGCGAACGCGTTGAACCTGCCTTGCGCCGGGCCTGGCAGCGAACGACTGACTCCTTCCGCAAATTCCACTACATTTATAGTAATCTTCGGAAAGGCGTTACTTTTCCGAAGATACAGGGGATGGAATTTGTCACCGCCTTAATTTGGAAGGCATAGCCGATGACTTTTCGGGACTGGCAAAGGTGGTTGCCACATGTAGGCAATAAGGTGCTTTCGGGACCGCGCTACCCGCGCGGTCGGAAAGACCTTGGCGGTATATGGCTGGCAGAAGTTTTAAAAAAGGACACATTTTACGGAAACGATTTCTTAAGGATGTTAACATAATTTGCCGTCTTTCAAACCCCAGGTAGGTTTTATTACCTTAAAACCTAGCATCTGTAAGCGGTCAATTTTACCCAGAGCCGACGCAAGGCAGGTTCAACGCGTTCGCCGGAACCCGGCCCCGCATTTTAAAAGGTCCCGCGGTCTACGAAAATTACTGAATTAAAAGGCACCGATTTTGATTAACTTTTTACAGACTGATGATACCATTAACAAATACAAGACATTCTTTTGGTAACGCTGATTAAATTGAAAGAAGTGACAAAAATCATCAAAGTATTATTATTTAGAATTCATCTTATAAAAAATATATAGCATTTGTAAATAAATAATTCCGCGTTGTAAAATTTAAGTGTAGGATTTGAATGTGAATTCAGGGCCCCGCAAAATTTTTTAACCCGGCCCCGCAAAAGATCATGCCGACCCTGGTTTTACCCTCGCGCGTCTGCAAACCATATACCGCTATATACAGGGTGTCCCAAAAATGTTGTAACACCTTGAAAGAGGCGGTTCGGGAGGTGATTTGAAACAACTTTTTCTTTAGCGAAAATGTTGTCCGAGGTTTCGCTAAGGAGACATTAAGCGAAAATCCCGACCAATCAGAGTGCGAGTATGCTGGTTGAGCGTAGGCTATGCGCTAGCCGGCTTCGCTCATACGCTACCGCGGCCGCTCCACCAGTACACTCGCGCTCTGATTGGTCAGTGTTTTCCGTTAATATCTCCTCAACGAAGCCTCGTACAACATTTTCGCTAAGGAAAAAGTTGTTTCAAATCACCTCCCGAACCGCCTCTTTGAAGGTGTTACAACATTTTTGGAACACCCTGTATATATTTTGTCATATATTTAAATTTCATTAATAAAAATTATTATTTAATATCTTAAAAAAAAAACACGCAAGGAAGTGTCCGTTTTCATTTTTCTGACTGCGACTAACCCCTTAAAGGATGGATTGATTAACACTAAACCTATCGACGTTCATTTGTAACTATTTCTATCGTGATAGGACAAATAATTACTCATAAAGACACTTTTTCAATTAAATAGAAAAATATTGTACATAAAAGTAAATTAAACAATACATAAAACAATTGTATACAATTCATATATTGGATGTAAGAACTGTCCACAAAAGATTAGTGTTAACCATAATATAAAATATCAATCTTTAATCATCTCTTTGATAAATAACTTTAATTACGATTAGAGTTTCCGTAGTTGCTCCCATTTTTTCGTTAAATTATTTAAGCTTTACTGTATTTACTTCTATTTGTCTCTGAGCAAGACCCACAACAGGATTGAAAACTTTTTGAATGAATAAATGATCAATGACTATAAACATGATTATGACCATTTACAGCCGATTATACGCAATGAAATAGATATAAGGATTTAAGATACAGTTCGCGATAAACTAATAAAGATAAATCAAACTTTATGCGAAATTATTAAGCTCCGATTATTTATATATTTATATAATGACGTTACGAGCCAATTCCTTAACAGTTGAGTTAATAAAATTTAACACAAGAGCTATAAAAAAAATTCATTTCCTTGTAGATATTAATGGACATCGTTGCATGCGTCGTTGAGCCCAGATACCTTGCAAAAGAGTGTAATAATATCGATATAAAAAAAGCGGTCTTTCAGAAGTTATCCTGTATTGAAAACACAGTATAAAGGAGCCTTTGTACAATATATATTCGTTATAATATTAATACTCGGTTAAGTATTGCTCAATAAAACGTATGGTTTGTAAATAGAATTATCTCTTTACCATAAATGTTTCGTAATTATTATAATCTTATAGATGCCTCTTTTTATATGATTTAAAATTATTCTTACTTGATTTATATACGCAAATTGACATTTAAATAAATTTGGACGACAACTGTTGCATAAATATTGAAAGAAATCGATATTTTAAACAGAATTCGTAAGTACCTTCGTGTATCATACTTCAACTGTTCTTATATGAAAACATACGAAGGTCAATGTTTTTCAAACAACTTACTGTATATGGCGACATTCAATATAACCTAAAAAAATAACGTAGTGAACTTCATCGTAGTTTATGCATGTTGTCATTTAAAGAAAATAAGTACAAAAACTTTTGGTATTAATCTAACCTCCCATTGGGTATTATTCGTACGTTACGATTTCATAATACTATCGAAGAATATATTAAAGGAATTCAATAATCTTATTAATGTGTATGTTACTTTGTATCTGCAAGAATTACTTATGCATATTTTCTAATTGTATTAATACGTATTTGTAACTATACAGGTACTTTGTTCCCATATCTAAATAATCACATCACTAATAACAACATCAAGTTTATCAGCAATTAGAAAGGAACAAGGGAAAATGTCAGATGACGAAGATTACATGTCTGATAAATTTTTGCTAGGAATTGAGAAATGTAGTTCATCCAGTCTCATACATAAACACGCAGACAGAAGGAAATTTGAACTTATGAAAAAAAAGACTGAAGTTGACGCTAATTTGAGAGAAAAGAGTTCTGTAAAATATATTGAACAACAAAAAAGGGAAGAAGGTTTATCTTCTGCAATTACAAGTACTAATAAAGGTTTGGCATTAAATACTTTTTATAATATAATTATATGTACATACACATATTTCTCATATGTTATTTCATACTTTATTTTGTTTTTAGGCTTTGAATTGCTTATGAAAATGGGATATAAGCCAGGTCACGGTATAGGTAAAACAGAATCAGGAATAACTGAACCAATTGGTGTTGAAGTGAAATTAAACAGACACGGTATAGGAAAGGGCATTAAGAGAAAAGAAATAGATAGTAAAAGTAGTTTGACTAGCGATAAACTAAATAATAAAAATATGAAGGATTTTCGTGGTAGAATTGCACAGAAAAAAGCAGAGCAACTATTGAGAGCAGATCTCAGGAAAAGTCAAAAAGTTTGTGAAGAATTGGATTTGCAATCAAAAATAGAAAAACCTATGGAAGCATGGTTTTGGTTGCCTCAAGAAACTGAAGATGATAGCGATACTGAAGAAACTGAAGAAACTGAAGAAATTGAAGAAGAATCTCCCCCTGAGACTGAACAATTGGAAATTCTTACAAAGTACTTAAGAGATAAACATTTTTACTGTATTTGGTGTGGAGTAGCATATCATAGTGAAGATGATTTAGGAAATAATTGTCCTGGAAATACAAGAGACGATCACTAAATATAAATATGAAGATTTGTTTAAATTAAATAAAAAAAAGTATATTGTAAATTTGACTACCATATTGTTACTTATATTACTTATTTTAACCACGCTATAAGAAACCGTACATGGATTAAGGATCTAAGTAACATTAGTCATGTTTCTCTAGTACAATCACCCACTGTGCATTGAGACATACAAAACCCATTAGAGTCATAATGCAAAATACTGAAAAAGTATTAAGCTGGAAAAAATCCGATAGTGTACAATGTAAAAGCAGGGGGAAGTTATCCTGGTTCAGCTAGGCTATTATATCCTAGCAGGAGTTCAGCACCCCAAGTTCTTACATGTAGGAGGGAAAGCTACCTATAAAAGCATCTGTTTCATTTTCTGTTCTTCCATTTCAGTCAAGATCCTTGACCACACCTGTACCATATTAGAAAAAGACTAAGCAAAAAAAAAAACTATTTAAACAAGATTGTTACAATGTTTATGCTAATAATATTTCTCTTGTCGTCCACATTCATTTTCACTAGCAACACAATTGCTCAAATAATAGATGATGAGAGTTGCGAAACATTACAATCAGAAGTACATATTACAAAAGGTATGATTTTTTTATTTTAATTTATTGTTGCATTTTGTATTTAAAATATATTTAAAAACAAAATTTTCTTTAGACGAATACGACGAAATAGGACGTTTGAAAAGAACATGCAGCGGAGATATACCTGTCACAAAATGTGAAGGTTTTTGCAGTTCTCAGGTGCAACCAAGTGTCGCGAGTACTACAGGATTCTCAAAGGCGAGCACATACTTCCAATGAAAGTAACAGTTTTAACAAAATGTATGGAACTATAAGTCTATCTTTTCAACAGGAATGCTATTGTTGTCGTGAAAGCTATTTGAAGGAAAGGCTTATCACTTTACACCATTGTTATGATGCAGATGGAATAAAATTACTGAACGAAGAAGATAGAATAATGGAAATTAAAATACGAGAACCAGCAGAATGTAAATGCATTAAATGTGGTGATATATCTCGATAAACATAATGAAAATAAATTAAGTACATGGCATTGTGAATTAAATTATATAATAAAAATGATATCATTTCAAATAAAAATGGAAATATAAAATGAATCTCGAAATAATTCATTTGCCCTTTCCCCTCGTACTTTTAGAAAGTATAACGAAATATAAATTAATGTTTTATTTAATTAAATTGAAATTTTCCGATTTCGTCAAACATTCCGAATATGTATAATAACCTAGATAATTTAATGCATTATACATATATTAAAAATGATTAATGTTTGATATTTAAAGTATAACTTTATATAACAATTTTCTATTGTAGATAAAAAACTGTTTAAAACGTAGGTATATGAAACGAAATCATATTTTTATATGAAAAACAATGAAATAATGAAAAAAATTCAGAATACGACTATATCAAAATTAAATGTTAATTTTAAGAGATAGCTGATATTAAAAAGATTAAATTAATAAACGTATCAATAGGTTGAGATATCAACAAATTATATGATAAACAATACACTACAAACATACAAGTAGTATGTGAGGTTTTGCTATATTCTAAAATAATGGAAAAAATTAAAAATGAAAGAAACTCAACTAATAAGTTATTGATAGTAAATATTTTATACTATGTGAAAGCACAATATACTTATAATTGTATGTATCTTATACGTATGACCTTACTACTTGCACCTTGTATTTTATTTTGTGTATCTGAATTTTAATGTTAGTTATAGTTTATTCTCTTTGCGGAGTATATCTGAATTTTAATGTAAAACGAACATTTTGTCAAGAACTATTACATTTTCAATAAAAAAATTATTATAATAATCGCAACTTTGATAACAATGATGAAGAACATCCATAATGATGTTTAAATAATTAGTTCCCCTACAGGAGTTTGAAAGTTTTAGTATTTTATAATGTTTGTGAATTGTTTATATTGTTAGATTTCTGAACATCGCAACAGCAGTTTAATGTTAAATTTTTAAACATGTATAAAAATAATGGACTGATGTTGTGTAACATATATTTTATGAATATATAATGAAGGTTTATAGGAACAGTTTATAATAAAAATTGTGAAAATTTATAAAAAAGAAAGTACATATTTTATGTACATAAGATATAATAGTATTATTATTTAAAAAGTAAAGAATACAGAACTACAATGTTCGTGACCACTTAAATGAAAATAGAAGACTAAGAACATTTTTGATATGATTTTATGTACTCGGTTCCTTCCCTGCTGCTATTAACATAAGTATCGGAAAGGAAGGGAGAGAACATGGCCACCTATAGAGTATAAAAGGGTGCAATGTGAAATCTATAAGCACAGTGAAGTATTAGATCTAGAAGGGAATGTATCGTGCTAAAGCTATGTTCCTGTATCATATTGGTAAATAAAAAATTATGTATTAATATGACTATTACAACAAAAACAGTATCATATTTAAATTTGAACTATGTAAATGAAATATATTATACTAAAATATTAAATGTATATAAATGTTTGTATAATTGTGTTACTTACGGTGCAGTGAGCGTTGGTCTTTTAATATGCCTCCTAAATGGAACCGTAAAGGCAATTGTAGGTGTTGACGAATGTCAGGCGACTCCAGTCATTCACTTTTTGCAATACCCAGGATGTGTCCCAAAACCAATTCCTAGTTATGCATGTAGAGGACGCTGCAGTAGTTACCTACAGGTGAAATATAATATAAACATAATACTTATGACATAATGCATCTATAAACACATATATTAAATTAACTATGAATTTTCTAATATAAATTGTATAGCATTTCTACAATTATAAAAATTTGGTTATAATATACAATAAAATCTTCAATGAAGTTTTACTTTTCACTTATTTAGAATAAGTAAAAATACATCACTTTATCTAGTTTCAATATATTTTCTAAAACAATTTAAATTAGTGTAAAACCTTAAAAATATTATTTTCAAATGCTTTGTTTATGAAGCTTTATTCTTATAATTGTGTAATTTTAAGTAATAGAAACCAAGCATTGTCACATACTTGAGTTACGACACATAATTAGAGTTTTATAAATATCTTTTCTTATTTTTTATCTAATTTATTACAATTATAAATATAAAGTTAAACATTAATTTTATTACATCCATGTTTGTAAATGCCACTATACATTGCATAGAATGTTGACTCGGTGTATTCAGAATAAAACTTCAAAACTAACGCATAAAAATAACAATTTAATCTTACTTGTTTCTACAGGTGTCTGGATCAAAAATTTGGCAAATGGAGAGGAGCTGTATGTGTTGTCAAGAAAGCGGCGAGAGAGAGGCCAGTGTATCCCTATTTTGTCCGAGGGCTAAACCAGGCGAGAAAAAATTCCGAAAGGTTAGGTCACTGTCCCAAATTGATCATAATATGTGTTACAGATTGAATTAATATAAAAAACTAACAAAGCATCGGCCAGTTAATCACTCTTACATGAAAATCAAGAGTAAAGCTCCTGACACCACGAGTTTTCCGCAGCCATATTGTTTTTGTCTAACCGGCCAGTAGGAAGCGCGTAAGAAAATGAATATCGCGCGTAATTTAAATTCAATTATTCGAATCGTGTTCGAGTCGAAAAGTGTTTAATTAAACGTACAAACTAAAGTATACAAACAACCTATGTTCAAGAACTGTTCAATTGAACGAATGTTCCGAATAAATCGCACTATAATACAGTTTCTATTAATCAACTTCTATTCTAATAAAATTTTCTCTATCTTTGGATGTAGTTACTATTCTCAATATTTTTTATGTTTGGTATTATAAATTAATTTTGTTAGGTTATCAATTTGTAAATATATAAATATATATATAATAAGATGAATTAATTTATAGGTAATTACCAAGGCGCCTTTAGAGTGTATGTGTAGACCATGCACCAGTGTAGAAGAATACGCAATCATTCCTCAAGAGATTGCTGGATTTGCTGATGAAGGTCCGTTTACGACTTCAGCACATTTCAGGAGATCATCCGATTTGCAGTAACTCTTTCGTCTAATTTCATGCTGAAAATGTCAAACGAAAATAAAAACTTGAAAAGATGAAGAAATTTATTTGAACGGTATAAAAGTTGTAAACATCAGAAACATTCTAAAAGTACAAACTGAAAATATAAAATACATGAACTAAAAAATAAACATAGTATTCAATGTTATTACATTAATGTAAACCAATTTTTAAATCTTTGTCGCGTATAATTCTAACACATAAAAACTGTGTTTGACAGTAATATTTGCATCTAGTATCCTCAAAAATAAAAAAAAAATTAATAATTATTTAAGAAAGTATTGAAAAAGTTTACTAACGTTTTGGTGGATATACATCAGAAGCCTTATTACTTTGTTATAAATAATTTCAGTTATATTACATACATATAAAATAACTACATTGTATTAAATATACAATATAGGATATACTACGCATATTTAGTGTTTCAAAAATGCGTATTCATGTAATACAGTACCATTATAATTATTGCATCTTAACATTATGTTGTAAATCATTACATCTTGTCAAGTATACATTATCTACAATCTTTTAAATTTCAAGTGCATCAGATATTAACGTTTATTTTTTAAATCAGTTTCATTCAAAATTGTATGTATATACTTTATTCGTTATTGTAGGTATTTCGTTTATAGTTATGTTGACAATATACGAATTGGTATTACAAAAAAATATACATATGACTAATTCAGTGAAAGTTTCTCTTCGGCGTTATGATCGATGCATCTAGACAGGCATATATTCAAGAAAATAATCAACAACGGTTTGACATGGAGTTCTTTTTTATTTTTTTTCGTATAGATATGATTTATCATAGAGTGTACGAGTGTATCTGTGTATTGTGTTTTGGAGTTTTTAGTGATATTTTATTTATATTATGTATATGTATATTAATGTAAACGTAAGCACACGCAGGTATATGTATAAACACTTTATACATGCGTGTTCATACGCGAATTGTCGGCACAATACGCCGCATGCACGTGCAATGTTTCAAGAAGACAGCATAACAAAGCCATTCTTCTCTTTTATCTCTGCATCTGTTCAATTCTCACTTACAATATTTATTTAATAAATATTTACAGTGATTATTTTTTTTTACTGCGACTCACTTAACTTGTTTCCAACAACGTTTTTTTTTTCTTTTAATTTTAATCATATATAAATTATTGTAATTTTATATATTTACTGTTTTTTGAGTGCATCTCGCGTTTTATCTCGTCGAATGATACATTCTACTGTTGCATAGTAGAATAAGAACCTTCAAGGAGACAAATATTATGGATCATTGCTCTTAGATGTATTTCGTATTTTTCGCACTCATTTTACTTCATGTATATTTCGCTTTTACAGTGTGAAAAAATTAGTAGTAAGGTTTACTTAATTCTTTATTTTTTTACTCTCCCTCCTTACTTTTTCTTGTTTTCTTTCATTTTGTTTCGTCCTATAAACTATATGCAAACAAAATTTTCTACGTTTCAATTATGTGATTTAATTGATCAAAATTAAAGTTTAATCATTAAACAGGTTTTATTTTCTAACGATTTTTAAATTATTTTAAGATAACCGAACATAACTATGCATTTGGAATGCAATAGATTGAATACTAAAAGTACACGAAGCGATAAAGTAACGAGGGTATAATGAAACTATAAAGAAATTGCGACGATGAAGGGAATCTTGTATCAAAAGGACAACGTACGACTTCTTTCATTAGTAAGAATGTATAATTTTGAAAGTGTATATTGTGTGTATGCACATATATACCGACACACAAATATAAATATACGTGTATGCATATAAACAGAGACGAATGCGAACATGGTAACCTTTTATCCCTTCAGCAACATGCAATTCGTAAGAAGCATAAATGGCAAACTTGGCTAGTAAATCTAGCATTTATAAAGGACTAAATAATAATACCTACATTTAAAATAACCGAGTACAAGTCCACATTTTCGGTATCAAACAATAATTACAATTTCTTAAATAAGGAGAGTATATTTAGTAACATCAGAAATGTTAGACAAAATCAATGTAAAATTCTCTTCTAGAGTTAAATAAAAATAATTTTTCATAATAACTGCACTCAAATCTACTTATTTCCCTTTTATATATATTGTAGTATATTCAAAGGAAATGGTATTTTTCACACTGTACTTTAAATTAGTATAACAATTTTATACAATTTGCTACGGCACCTGCCACCTGAATACATGCAGACATTCCATCCCACGCACTATAATCTGTTCTCTCAATGATTATAAATAACTAGTGTTAAAAAATAGTAGCGCCTTAATATGCACACCATTTGTATCCTTCCGTTTCCTAATTTCAACATATTCTACACTACGAACCCTAGTTTCGTAATGTTATGTTACACATTTCACTCTCATTCTTTCTTAGTTACGAACGGTTTTTTCTTACAGTAGAATACATTGTAAGTTCGCAAAGATATAAATTAGTAATTCTGTTATATTCGTTATAATAATAGGAAGAACCGCCGCCCTTGTATCAGACTTGGTTATCAATAGTTTCCTTCTGCTTATTTTTTAAATTTAATTTACTTAAAATGGACCTACTTATACACATCTGCGTTCGGCAATTTGTTAACTAAACCGTACAGCAAAACGCTTCAGTTGCTCTATGATATCGCTCAGTGAAATTGAAAGTAGCATTTCTCGATTTTCCGAGATCATGCATGAAAAAAAAAATCATAAGTTTCAGTTCTATTGGGCGATTCACAAGCTGTAGTGACATTCCGCAAGACATAAGATATACGATAATATTCTCGAGTTGTTTTTTTTTTGCTTTATTTAAACTTTAAATCATTTCAATGAATTATATATAATAATTATCTTGTATTTACTTTTGTATCATTATTAATAATTAATCTTTATCTTCATTATGTATAATAGCGGCCTTCGGTCATTGTGTTTTCCTTTTTTATATGACAACCTTATTTATTATCTTCCACTTCTTGTTCTTCAAAGTTCTAGACTATATTACATACACCCGCGCACTACTATCACACCATTGTTTTCTTCAATATATACCACATTTTTCCTTAAAGGAAAAAAAAGACAAAAAAAACTGCAATTTGATCTCACTTCGCGTATCTTTTTTTGACGAGGGAACGTATATTTAAGTCTTTAAACAGACGATAATGTACTCGATCACGGTATCGTCAACAACGGTCTTGGTTCACATCAGTTGATACGTCTTCTACACTGGAAGCATCATCAACTTCTTGTAAGCCAGTGAAAAACGATGTTAACGCCATCGTTGCAATACCATGCCACTCGCGTTGAGCTGGCTCGGGGCTATCTTTCCACGTCAGGAACGCGTCGCTTGAAATTATATTATAGTCCGACAAGCTTGTCATAATTTCAAAGAGAATCCCTGTGACATAAAAACAACATGATATAGTGGGTAACTTGTGTAGAAAAGTAAATGATTAAAGTTTGTACTTTCGTATCTTACCGGGTGGATATTGTATTTTATGCAAATGAAGTTGAATCGCGTAAAGACACTGTAATTCTAGGGACTCATTTGCATCAACGAACCGACGAATCAACTGTTGTAAATTAGTAAGAATCTCAGTTTTAAGATGCAACTTGTTGTTGCCAAACTCTAACAATAGAAAAAGGAAAAATAATATATAATTAGACATCTTAACAAAACATAACATACGATACATAACAGTCATTATCCATACATACTCATGGACGTCTCTAAAATGGCAGTCGTTAATACTCGAATAAATTCTGGTTCCTTGACTCGGTTACCTACATTCGCCTACAACAATCAACAAATGAAATTAATTATTTACTACTGTTTGCAAAGTATACAAAATTGGGTCAGAAATACTTACAATTATCCAATCACAAATCACATCAAAATTACTTTCCTTCATGAGTCTTTTAAGTTCAGTTTGAATATGTTGTAACGTGAGTTGATTATTAGTTGAGCTTTTGGCACTATTGCAATCACCAGTGCAGAACTCTAACTTCTGAAAATGATTTACAATATCATTATCTTTTCTTACTCGGAATAAACATTCCAACAAATCATATTTATATAATCTTACATAGTCTTCGATAATTTTGTTAGCATCTTCACATTTTGGATCAATTATAGTGTTCAATTGAAGTCCACTTTGGTCCCATTTTTCTGCGGTCCATTTAGACCCTTTATTTTGGGATAGTTTTGGTAACAATTCCCCAAGAAATCTGCCTACATATCCTCGACCTCTTAAATTATCAAATACAGGTTTCAATTCTGATAGAGGGATTACTTCAGTTTCTAATGGATGGGCTGCAAACAGAAAGTACCATAAAATAGTACCAACATTTTTCTTAATGGTCATAGAAAAATTTTTGTTTCTATTATCAGGCCTGTTGAGCAAGAACCCGCATGGAAAATCTCTATGGCGAAAAAGAGTCATCATGTATAGCAAAATTGTTTTTAACATAAACAAATATTTCTTACAATTATGAACATTGCGTACTAAAAATTAACAAAATATAACTTTCTTAAGAGTATTCACTTACACAATATTTCCACCAGATACAACCAGAGTTTAGGTATATCGAGTGAAAGGTCCTCGACATCTTCCAATATTTCAATGAACCTAAAAAATTAATTACATTTAGTTTTTCTAAAAGAGACAAATCTTTAACTTTTTTGTAGTAAGATTTTATTCAGTATCCTTTTGGCTTATAATATAACGTTCAGCACAAATATTGTTTTATCAGATTAAAATTTTCATCATTTTTTCTTTTTCTTTATATCAATTTAAAACAAAAATTACTTAATCAAAATATTTTATTTCATTTGATCATTTCGGAACTACGTTCAACACTGTAACTATAATTATATTATATAGTAAAAAATTCTAACTTACCCGGATCTAAACTGTTGCAAAGACATAATGTTCTGACTGATTAAATGCGAAATAAGCTGCGACACATACATTCTGTCAGTAGGTGATTTTTCAAAACCGTAATTGACCAACTCAAGTACGAATTTTGATAATGTATTTTCGAAGTTTTGTTGAATAGCCGATGCAGCTTTCTGTAAAATGATTCAGTTTTATAAAATGACTTGTATATAAATACAATGTTTATTATAAAATTGCATTAATTTTTACAATATTAATTTGTCTTTTCGTTGGTCATACAAACAGCGATTCATATAAAATCAGGCCAATTGCTGAATTATAAACCTGTTTGTGAAAAAACCAAAAAAAAGGTATCGTAATATAGCACACCAATGACTCAAACATCTCTTATAGATCAGAGATGGATCTAAGGAGTGTGCCATTGTTTTCGATTGTTCTACTTATTCAATAAATATGTTTACTGCCGAGTTTGTTTAAGAATTATAATTGTACATATTAAAAAGTATATATGTATATATAGGTACATGCATGTAAATAATAATGTAATATAAACTCACTTCAATGTCGGTATTTTTTAGATACTCTATAAGTATCTTCTCGAAAACTTGCTTAAATTCCTCTTTTGTTAAAGGTTTACTATGACTACTAGGAGTAGATTGTGAGGATTTTAACGTTGGTGGCAAAGAAACACTTTGACTTTGTGTATTATCTATTGACGAGCTTTCTCTACTCGATGATGAACTGCTTAATTGATGACTACCATTGCGCGAACCTCTGCCATCTGTAACATTGAAAATTTACAACTTCCCTATATTAAAACGATACCACTTAATTTAAAAGTATTTAGTACTGAAAATATCAGAATCCTTTTGGCAAACAACATTAAGTTTTACTTTTCAAAAATGAAAATTTGTTCATCATGGTTAATAATAGCCTTTCTTTTAACTTTCTTTTATGATATTAATTGAGTAATTAATTATATGAATTATATTATACCCACCGTAAGAAGATTTGTAGTCCCGACCATATTCTCTAGGACCAGTGGATCTTGATCTAGTGTAAAGACATTAAAAATTCGTTACTTAGGGATGTAAATGATATTTATATATCTTGGTAAAACATTTCATAGAGTAATTTTATCATATATTAAATAATGAAAAACAAAATGGAAAGGTATATCAAAAATTTACCCAAAGAGTTGTGGTGACATCACCCTCTTATCTTGATCTAAGGAGGTCACATTTCCTAAGCATGCAAATTTATTTGAAGAACTCATTGCCTTTGAACCAGAATTCAGAGGTTGTTTCCACAAGTACGTGTTTCTACTTCCTAATTGCATATCGTCCATTGGAGGCTAGATAAAAAAGAATACTTAATATTAAAAAGCAAAACTCGAGTTATAGTCTCGAGATATAGCATAAAAAATAGATGTACATTATCATATCAGAACACATTATGCAATCATTTTTGTCAGAAACTCCAGTCTGGCAAGACATGTGTAGATCATCATGCTTCGATATTAGTGAAATATCTCATATGCAGAGTAATAGTTACTTAATATTAATTTTTTATATTAACTAAAAACTTTAGGATGTAATCAAAAATTTAAAAAGTATTAAAATTACTTACGGGTTTATGTTTCAGTTTTGCTGTTTCAACAGAATATGGTTGTCTTGTTCTTACAACCGGTTGACTCCAACCAGCATCATCAGTTGGACCAACACCGCCTGCATCAAAAAGTACCGTTCCTTAAGTAAATACACTTTTACTTGTATAAAATATTAAAATATAAAAAACAAATATCCAAGTTCAAATTATATTATCAGAGCACATTAAACAATCACTTTTGTCAGAAACTCCAGTCTGGCAAGACGAATGTAAAGATCATCATATTTTAACATTAGCGATATATCTTGTTTGCAAAGAAACAATTTACGATTCTAAATATAGGACTTAAAAATGTTTGACATTGCAATGAGATGATACTTACGATTTCTTTTTCTATCACTGGTACGTTCATCCTTTCGAGGAGTATTCAGAGGAGTATTACTCAATTGGCTATCTAAGACTCTTTCAGACTCTGCTTCCTTTTGAATTTGATCTATTGTTTTAGGAGTACTGTCATTCCTTCTCGAAACCCATCTATTCGCTCTTAAATCTATGACATCTTGCAGCATAAAACGAATTCTAGAACTAATTTTCCCTTGTGCTCGTCGTGAAATAATATCTTGCATTTTACTGAAATAATCTTGCATTTCCTAATGAAACAAAAAAGAAAATAATATAAAAAATCATTGACTAAATCATACTTTAATTTTAGTATAAAGATATTAATATTGTTTACTCGTAACCATCAATCTCATTAACAGTAATAGCATTGTGATCAAATGATTTTTACATTTTATTCTTTAATTCCGAACAAACAATATGTTGTAAATATATGCAAGACACGGACAATGTATGCATACGTCGATTATGAAAAACAAGCTTACTTCTACAGGTCCTTTCATTTCCAAATCTTTTCCAATCGTTGTTAACAACTTGCACAAACATTCAAGACTATCTTCATCGCTTTGATCTAGTAACTGTTTTACGCAACGACGCATGATCATAGTTGTTAACATTCCTTGTTTGTACAATTCACCAATAAATCTATGATTGACATAAAATAATGTAATATACAAATTTCAAGCTGTACATACTTCGTAAAAAATAGTTACAAACCGTATGTTTCCTACTGATTTTATACGTATTCGACGTTCTTCCTCTTCCAGTTCTAGTTGTAAAATTTTCTTCTTATCCTAAAAATTAATGTGATAAAAATTACAATACAAATGTAAGAAACTGTATTATACCTAACTCTATATTGCACAGGAAACTTACAGGATCTGTACATTCTTCAATTTCTTTAAGTTTCGAAATCCTTGCCTCTTCGTTTACTGAATTTTTTTCAAATTCATTTTGGCAACGAGTAACAATAAGCTTCCTGAAAATGAATTCTTGTTGGTCAGTTTCTTTCTCTGACCCTGACACTTCCATCATTGCAAGTTCTTTACACATCAAAGCATATGCTACAGAGAAACTTGGTTCATCAACAGCCTGAAAATTATGTACTTTTATAATTACGTAATTACATGGAAATGCCAAAGTGAATAATCGATTATATAGACATATGATTCAGTTTACCTTTTCGAAGACTAAATTGATAACGCCTTGCAAACGTTCTGGTGTATCAATAGGCAGTGCACGCACTTGATCAACTAAAGTATCAAATTT